GCCAGCAGCCGCGGGCGGCGGGGCCCCGGCACCCGCGGCCCCGCGGCCTGGCGCCGCCGGCGCCGGCGCCGGAGCCGGCGGCGAGGGCCGTGGCGCGGCGCGGGGGGCCGCACTGAAACACGCGCCCACCTTTGATGATGAGCTTGGGGGTGAGGTGACGTGCTGGGTCGGGCAATGCGATGCGCTCATTGAGCGGTTGCGGAAGCCCACTGAAGCACCGGCTGCCTTGTGCCCAAACACGCGTCTGCCCTCTGTCCCGACCACTGAGCGCGCTCCCAGGCGCTTGATCAGTGCAGTCTCAGCCGCCAAACGGCCCCAAGCTTGACAGAGTAGTGGCCCCCTATGATCTCAGCCGCCAACCGCTGGTCAGCACCTGACATCATTCGTGCCGGTCCCTGAAACCCCTCCCCGCAGACGGCGCCCCTAAAGGGGTCAGGCCCAGCCTCGGGCCCCCCATGCCTGCAGCTGCACGCGGCGCCGGCCCCGCCGCGCCGCCACCCGCGCCGCCGCCCCCGCCGCGGCCGCCCCGGGGCAGCACCGCCATCCCAGCGGTGGGCGCCTGGGCCGAGATTGCCAAGCAGCTGCGGCTCCGCAGGGAACAGCTGGCTGCGAACGGCGGCGGCGGCGGCGGCGGGGGCGGGACACCTGCGGCCGCCAACCGCACAGGAGCACCTGAAGTGCCTTCACCATCACCTGGCGGGGGTCAGCACAAGAGGGGTGGCGGCGGCTGCGGCGGCAGTGCCGGTGGAGTTGGCGGACGCACCGCTGATCGGCAAGTTGCAGGCGGCGGAGGTGCAGCGGATCCGCACGTGCCGGGAGCACAGCCGCAAGCGCAGGCGCCAGCGGCTGGCGTGCGGACGAAGGGCGCCACGCGCCCGAGGGGGGGCGTGCGCGCGACCGCCGTCGGGCCGCTCCTGGCGCGCCTGCGGCAGGAGCAGGAGCAGGAAGGGGGGGCGGGCATCCCGGGCAGCGGCTCGTGAGGTGTGCCCATACGCCTCTGCGGAGTTGCAAGCGCGCCAGGCCTCCGCACGGGCTGATGCATTTGTCGGTGATGCAGCTGTGCCCCTGGAGTTGACAGTGGCGGCGCTTGTAACCTCAATCACCTGCTGGCTCTCCTGCGTGCAAGGTGCGTTTAAGGCCTGAATAAGCTGCTGCTAGCCACCGCGTCGCCATCAATTGACGCAATCAAACTTCTCAAAGGGCATGCAGAAGCCCTCGGAACAGTGACATGGTGCAGCAGCCTCGCACGCGCAGGAAAATGGGAAATCATGACAACTGGAAACCATGGGGTCAAAGCATGGTCAACAAGTCTGAAAGCGGCCAAGCGACACAGCCTGCAAGCCATGTGCCTGGTGTTCTGAAAAACAATCTTTTCCGGCAAAGCATCACAATGGTGGGCATCTCTGCGTGTGAATGACGCGTGAGGATGATCGGTCAAGTGCCAAGCTGCTGCAGCGACGCACGCTGCGCTGCCGTGTGGCCAACGATGCGCATGCCTGCCAATAATGCGTCTGCAGCGCCCCCCCCCCCCGCATGTTGAGCCGCATGTGGGTACACTGCTGTAAGCGCCGCTTGCTGCAGGGGCCTGTCTGCAAATCCTTGGTCTCGTCCTTGAGCCTTGCATGCAAGAGGTCACTGCGCTTAAAATTGGGCGATTCCACTGCTTCATGCGACGCCCAGCCGTGGGTGTTGTGTCACGGGGGTGGGGGGAGGTGTGCGGGCGGTGATCCGCAATTCTTGTTTGTATGGTGCCAGCACACTTCGATGCAGTGGCGCGCACTTGCAGGAGGTACATGCATGCGCCTGACAAACCACACTGCCAGCCCTGAATGCTTGAGGGTGCAGTGGCGCCGGCACGGCTGCCCCCAGAGCGTCGTTGGACACCTCGCCCTTGCCAGCGTCTCAGCTGCCTTCACAGGCCCACCTTCTTGCAGCCTTTTGCTTCTTCTTAGCAGGCTTCTCCTGCTCTTCCTCCTCCTCCTCCTCCTCCTTCACCTCCTCCACCTCCTCATCTTCGTCCTCATCAGCTGCTGCGCCCTCGCTCTCTCCGATTACTCCCTGCTCCTCCCCTGCCTCTTCCTTCTCCTGCTGTCCCTTCTTCTGCGCAAAGTAGGCAGCATGGCATAAGCCGCAGCTGGCTGGTTGGGTGGGTGCACGCTCCTGGCAAGCATTGCAGCAGGCCAAGCAAAGTGACTGCAGACGAGAGGGGTGACGGAGTCCAAGGTGCTAATCGTTATCATGTATGTGTTGATTGCGCATGCGCGGGCTCGGCCTGGTCACCCGCCCACCCTCTTCTGACCGGGGACGCCAGCAGCCGCCGTCTTCGTGGCCGGCCCTGCACCGCCCTTGACACCTGCCCCTGCCGCCCTGACCCTGCCCTTGGCGGCACCCTCCGGCTCCCTCTCGTTGGAGCCCGCGGCCGCCTTCATGTTTGACCTTATCTGGCACTAAGAATGACACACGGTTCGGGAAGGGGTGGGCGCCTAGGGAGTGGGCCGGGCGTGCCGACGTGCAACGACAACAGTGACGGCTTGCGGTTTACGGCTAGACGCAACTGCCAGGTAGCAAAGTTGGCTGCAAGAATACATCAAGTCCTCATTCGTTTGCGCTGTTCATACTATAAGCAGGGCCAGCCAGCCCGTCAGCAACGCTCTTGAGTTTGGTGACCCAGGCAGCCCTGCAAAACGGGATAGCTGTGACACTGATTACCGCCTCATCGCTCAGCACGAATTGCGCCGCCACTCTGGCGACCAGCCTCACCTTGCTGACCTCCCACCAACAAACACACGGGAGGTGCTGCACGCGCCGCAGCACAGCAGCCAGCAGACTTCGATACCGTGATGCTGGTGGGCAGCCGCCCACCACCCACCGCCCACCGCCCATCACCTTGGCACACCGCCCTGACGCACCTGGTCTAACCGCGCCAAAGTAACACAGATCCCACCGATGCAATAAGATGGCTTTACACAGCCTGTTCAGGTCAAGGGCATCACCGGCGCCATTGTGCAGGCGCCAACAGGGAGACGCATATGCATGTCAATGGTCAAACTGGCACGGCGGGAACATTGCTGTTGCCGACTCAAAGAAAAACTAGCTGCTCACTTGTTAGGGTCAGGACGGATTGAGAACTCACGAAGTGTGCGGCCTCCAACTGAGGCAAAGTACAGCAAGAGACCAAAGTGCAGCAGTCACAAAGCAGCAGCCGACCCCTCCAACACTGGCACCGCTCGCTTGACATGACCAGGCTGATGGCAACCGAGATGCTGGCTACGCTACACAGCAGCATCCCCGGTGTTAGCATGCACAACCCCGCTGCCTGCACCACCGTTTTCACTGCTGCCACCGTTTTCGCTGCTGCCTGTGGCGCCGCTGCTGACCGCGGCGCCGTTGCTGGCCCCGACACCGCTGCTGCCTGGGGCGCTGCTGCTGCCTGTGGCGCCGCTGCTGCCCCCGGCGCCGCGGCTGGCCCCGGCGCCGCTGCTGCCCCCCGCGCCGCTGTTGGCCCCGGCGCTGCTGCTACCTCCCCCCCCAAGAGGGCTGCGCCCGCCGCTGTTCGTCTTTTGTGGGGTCGAGCGAGAAGCAGCAGGCTCGTCAGCTGTGCGCAGGAACGCGCGCTGTGCTCGCATGCAGAAACCAAAACACTCTTCCCCCTGCAACGGCCTGCTGACAGCATCTTCGCGTGTGCGCTCAATCCCCGCTCCTATGCGGGCCTCTCGCCAACCAGGAGCAGGTCTTCACCACCAGCTGCCCTCTCATGATTGTGCCAACCTTGCTCGCACAACAAGAGCTCTATCGCGCGCACGCGGGCCGCCGCCGCTCACCTTGACTGATCCCAGCAGGCAGCTCTCCAGCAGCGCGTGCCCGTTGACCCAGGGATGGTACCGCTGGAACAGCGCCGTGCCGTCCTTGCCCGCCGCCGCCATCAGGATGTCGGCGCCGCCGGGGTGGAAGGGCATGTAGGGGGTTATGTTGTACACGCGGCCAGAGAGGACCATCCAGGCGTCGTCGCGGGATTTATGAGCTTTCACCTCTTCCATAGGGATATCCTTGCGCAAGCCGAGGCCGGCTGGGGTGGGCGTGGAGTGCAAAGCATGCATGGAGTCGACGAAAGGCAAGAGCGCGGAAGGAAGCCGAAGGCAGGTGGAGAGGGAACCAAGGCCAGACACGCAACAGCGCAGCAGCAAAGACTGCGGGGGGCCGAGTGCGGCAGCGATTGGGGGCGCTTGCGCCGTCCCGTGGCGGCCTCACCTCTGAGGTCCTTCCCAGACCGCGCCAGCTTCAGCCAGTCGACCTGGCTGAACCCCTTTTCCAAGGGCACCTTGTTGCGGCGCCCTGCTGCTTTGACCTGCAATTGCGAGAGGGCGCCAGGCCAGGCGCAGCGATGCGCGCGGGTCGCTGAGCCCGTTGCTCTGCCGCTTATGGCGAGCGCTGCGCCCCATAAACAGCAGCCAGGGTTGTGCGGGAGCAGCAGGGTGCACGCTGCCTTGAGAATGGCCTTGCGGTGTTGTCAACATCCCATTCGCCCACGCCGACATGCATTGCCCAAACGACCACTGCAACGGCTAGGCCGAGAGTGTGCTGTACAGGAGGGCCGTGCACTGTCGTGCGATCCGCTGCACCAACAGATTGCTTGAAGAAATTCCGGCTGCCATCGCACCTCGCCAATTTTTAGCACTGGCTTCGATGTGCTGGGAGCCTCAGCTGCGCTGCCGACAGGCCCCGCATGTGTGACAGTGGACTGGGCTGTCAGCGGCTGCTGTACAAATCGAAGGAAACGCGCCGACGAACGCGCCGTCATGGGCGACGCAGGACAAAGCGGCGACATGGGTGCAGTGAGTTGTGCGGCGGCGACGTGCGTTCCGCTGCTGCGGCACAAATGCAGCGATAGTCCCCTGGCACGCACAAGCGGTGTGATGGTCGACATAGCAGCGCTATCACTATAACTTTGTACCTTGTGAGGCATCGATGAGGGCGCAGGAAGCGTAGGAAAAGTGAAGTCCGCCATGCTGTGAGGGCTCGCGCCTTTTGAGCGCTCGATCTATGTAATTGCTGTTTATCGTATCAATGGGTCACATAAGGCACGTGCAGCCCGCTCAAGTGCGTGGTGCTCCTGGCAAATCCTCGATCTGGCGTGAAGGTCTTTTGAAGGGCAGCCAAGTAATGTTCTGTAAAACAATTTATAGAGGTTCACTTGAGTGAAGTGCATGCAGGACAACGCTCTGACAAGCAGATGACGCACGCGCATTCAGTGACTTGAAGGCGTGCACAGCGCGTATCATATGATATGAAGGGAAAATTTCGTCGCGAGCATTCCAATACCTACCGCATTCATGCTTTGCGGCAGCTGTGACCATTGGTCAACCGAGGTGAAGCACAGCCAAGGCCATGCAAGGCGCCCGATGAGAGGGTGACAAAGCTGTCTGGCGCAGGAACGAATTTGTGCGCAGCTGCAGAGGCGAAGGCGCCGCCACCCCGTGTACCAGCGATGTCAGCACTGGCGGCGGCTCGCGAAGCATTCCAGCACGAGCGGCGCCGTGTCGCCAAGGTGTGGTGCGGTTGCGTGTGAGGGGTATCACGAATGAAGGCGTGCATTGTACAGACTGATGATGACGTCTGCCTTGCTCATTACTGACGCAGGCTAAAAAAGCACTGCAGCAGTTAAAGCCTGCGCCGGCGCGCCGCAAGCCAGCTGTGGCGCCTGGGCCTGCAGGCGCAGCCGATGTCGCAGCGCTGCATCCATGTCGTTCGGACGCAAGTACACTTCCAGCACGTCCAGGGGCGAGGCAGACGGGGACCTTGCATGCCGGCTCTCTGCAGGCAGCAGACTCAGCAGCAGCCCCTGTCAACGAGGCTGGTGGCATGGACACATGGGGATCTGTCAGCAGCACGGGGCAGCCGCACAAGACGACTAGGGCCTCACCGTCCCCGCAGCCACCATCACAGCCTCCCCATCAGTGCCAGCAACAGCAGCCGCAAAGGCAGCAGGAGCAGTGGCTACCAAACAGACCTCAGCCAAGGCCGCATCAGCGGCCATCACAGCCAATTGCACAGCAGCAGCAGCAGCAGCAGCAGCAGCAGCAGCAGCAGCAGCAGCAGCAGCAGCAGCAGCAGCAGCAGCAGCAACCGCCAGCAGGAAACGATGACGGGGCGCAGTTCGGCCCCAGCACTTGCGTCACCTGCAGCACAGCTGGCCCAGCCACGACTGTCTCAGCACCGACGCATGCAGCTGTTGCCGCAGCCTTGTCGGCCAGTGACACATGCAAGGCTGAGCCCTTAGGGTCAGCGTCCAAAGAAGAGGCCCTGCCCACCAGCGGCGCGGCGGGGCTGCTGGCTGCTGCGGGCTGTGAAAAGCACACAGCTGGACGCGCCCTCTTGCTGGCATCGGACTTTGGTACGGCCAGCCCCTCGCAATCACCGCGTGCAGGCGTGACAGCAGTTAAGCTATCTGAAGGTACCATACAGGCCGCACGAGTCAGCACGCAAGCGGTCTGCAAGGAACCTGGCGCGGCCACAGCTGAGGCTGCTGCCAACAACCTGCTTTGGCAGGATCAGCAGGTGCTCTTGCAGGGGGATGATGCGCAGCAGCCCTTGCGGAACAGTGAGCAGTCATTGCAGCAGCAGCAGCAGCAGCAGCAGCAGCAGCAGCAGCAGCAGCAGCAGCAGCAGCAGCAGCAGCAGCAGCAGCAGCAGCGGCAGCAGCAGCAGCTAGTTGCAAAGGTTCCAGCCGAGCTGGGTGTTGAGGATTTGCTGGGCGATGCAGGCGCGTCCGTCAACTGTGCGCTCCGCCCAGTTGGGTTTGGCCAACATGCTTATGTTGCGGCTCCGCTAGTGCCCCCCAGCTGGCGGGAGTTTGGCGCACTGGAGGAGGGATGCAGCGGCTGGAGCGACGACGACGCCTGATTTCCGTTACGGCCTGGGGTGCAGCGTGGGGTGCGAGCCACATCGTACAATCGCAACGACCCAGCGCGGCAGGTGTTGGTTGTGGCACAGCACTGCAAACGTAAGCACGTGATAAATGAGTACATGGGGACCGCTTTGTCCTTACTTGTACAGGCATCCAAGTGAACATCTATAAATGTATTCGCACACCTGCACAACCGCATGCATGTTTGGGCGATGGCAGGGCAGACAGATGTGCAACACCTAGCCGGCACTACATGTTGCAGGTACGATGCCAGTTACGGCCGGTGCTGCGCCGGCAAAAGGGACAACACAAAGAGTGAAATCGCGCAATCAGGATGCCACGACGAAGCTACCAGGTTGCGCACGGCCACGCACACTGCTGTGCGGATCCCCCCGAACTCGGCCTGCAGCCGTGCTGTGCGTGCGCCAACTTTGCAAGACGAACTGAGAGAAGGTGATGCGCCATCACAGACCCGTGCAGCTTTTATTGCGGAGGGCCACGTAATCAGCACATTACCCCTGCCCAAGCAGCTGCGCGGCATGCAGCTGCGCGAGCTGAGGGCTGTGATGGCCGCGTAGGGCTGTGATGGCCGTGATGGCCGCGTCGCCGCGCCTGATGGGTATGGATGTTACAGGGGGCGGCGGGAGGTCAGAGGTGGTTGGAGAGGCTGGCAGGGGTCTTTTATGCTTTCGTGTGGCATAACAGTGGCATGGAGGGGGTGGGCATTCAAGTTGACACGCTGAGGTCAGCGTTGACTGACAGGGGCGCATGGCTTTGCACCCCAGAGAGGAACCATGTCGTTGATACCGGTACCGTATAGCGTTTGAGACAACTTTTGCGTTCCGATACCGTATTCATCGTGGCTCACCAGATCAAATTTACAGATTGGCCGATTTGCAGATTGCAGTACGATTTGGCCATGGCCCCGCCTCTGCCACTTTTAGAATTGCCACCCGGCGCCCTTGCGCTGATATGCTCGCACCTGAATGCGAGGCAACGGGCTGCCACACGCGCGACCTGCTCGCGCCTGCGGCGCGCCGCCAACGCCGCTGTGCAGACGGTCGTGCTGGCGCTGTCGCCTGCGTTCCCACCAGGCATGCCCGCGGTCCACGCGGCGTCCGTGCCCGTTTGGTTTCCCGCGGCGACGCGCTTGATTCTGCGCGGCAAAGGCGGCGACGAGCGCGCGCAGGCAGGCATAGAGCACCTGCGGCACCTGCCGCCTGGCTGCTGGACCGCCATCACTGACCTCCTTGCTCGACCACAATCTCCGCCTGTCGAGGGGGCTGCGCGCCGCGGCGCTCGCGGCGGTGGTGCGCTTGTGCCCC